GTCACAGCAACCCTTGTGCTGTCCTCCAAAACACATTCCAGTTAACAGAACCAAAGCCTGGGAGCTATTTGGGCTGCCAGTTTTATCGAGTGTAATAGTCACCATGCTCCTGTGATGGTCAGTGCCATCAGTTTATATTGGATACACTCACATTCTGGCATTCTGACACKACCTGAGTGGCTGCTGAGTGCTTCAAGTGTACTTAGTTGTTTCCTCCACAAGTGAGCTCATTTTGTGCTCTACTTACAGATGCTTGGGTTGGCTCTTAGTGGAAAGGTTCAGATCTCTGCTGGTCCTGTACAAGCCCTCTCTAAACCAGCACAGTGGCAGAACTGTTCAGCTGGCTGATATAATTCCCAGAGAATTAAAATAATATCCCATATAATATTATATAATAATATAATATAATATTATAATATAATATTATAATATCCCAGCTGATATAATTCCCTGGAACAGCCTCTCTGACATGAGACAAATAAATGCTTTATGAGATCTGTAAGTTCCTGACAGATGCTGCTCAGGCAGCTCCTGGTTGCCTCACAACCAACTTTGCTTACAGGTGACTTGGCCCTCYCAGCTGTTCTGCCCACATCTGTATGGTTTTGTTCCCAAGAATAAGCCTTGCAYTTCTGCAGTCCTGGTGAGGTTTAGGGAGCCAGGGACCTCTGAATGCTTGGTTGTGCAACACGGGCTCCTCAAACACTGCCTGATGCTAGCTGAGACCCAGGACTGAGCCCTCAAAGGATGCCTAGAGCTGGCCATCAGCACTGGTACAGAGATGATTTCATGTGTAATGGGATCAGGTAAGACAGGAAACATATGGGCCCTCTGACTTCAAATCTTTTCATCCTAGAAAGGAAAAGGAAAATATTCTGCTTTGTCACAGCTTCCCTTTCAGACTGGCCAGTGTGAGCCCCGCAGCCCTCAGAGGACACTCTCACAGSTAAAACCACTGTGCCTGCAGTTGCTGGATTTCTGAGCTGTGCATTCCTGYCCTTTCCTCCTACCCCAAACAGTGAAACGTTTGCAGGCACTGTCCAGGAATTCATCTGTTGGTATTTTAATATGCATGTGTATGATCACCCAGTTGCTACAATTACACTGTGGGAATCCTGTTTCTGAAAATACACCAATCTCTGCTGCTCTCCAACACTAGCATGAGGTAATGGATCATGTTCCCTAGTTGCCAGTCACACACAGGAAGAAGATAATCAATACAGCTGTTAATACATGAAGACAACAATTCTAATTACAACTAATTTCCCTTCCACTTAAAAACATCATCTTCTGGCCTGCATTATCACAGCTTCAGATGTACAATGCATTAAAACAATCATGTGCTTCCCTTTGCTAAATAGAATCCTGTTATTTAGCTCAAGAACATCTTTGGAGTAGCTCAGAGTGGTGAGGTTTATTATGGGAACCTTAAACCAGCTCCTACTCCAGCAGGTGCTCTGCTRCTTTCAGTGTACATCCACCAAAACGGAGAGATTTTGCATCACTAAGGCTGTGATTGCTRTATTTTGTCTAGGGAAACATAATCTTTTACATTTAAGGTGCAGCAAACTCCCTGATCTTGTTCTAWCTCCTCGTCTGCATTATTTAAATGGCAGTTGAAAGCACTGTGAGTCACTGGAGGCTGCAAAAAAAATTGACAGAATGCCATTCRTTTTTACTGTTATAAAAAGTCATATTTTGGAAGGATTTTGCATTACAAATAGTTCCTCTGATCCCAGAGGAGYTACTTGGTGTATACTCTTACTCAACCATACCCTCATATATTTTGTCCAAATAMTGTCTGCCTGGTGAGAAAAGGGAGGGGCTTGGGAGCCTGAATTTCAATGTTGTAGCCAAAAGTCACGGTGATGAGGCATTGTGTGGAAACCAGTGTATTCCAAATTAAAGCACTGACTGCTGAGGAACCGCTGCTGCATCTCTGTTGTCCCCTCTCCCTACCTGTAGAAAAACATCAATAATGATAGAAATGTTCGAGGGCATTCATCAATTTTTAGATTTTGTCAGTGCTTTGAAGTCCTTCTGTGGGCGGTGTTAAATAAAGCACACCTTGGCCAGTGTCTGTAGAAGACACATAAAGGTCTGAAACCACAGAAGAGTTCCTGTGGCAGTGGGGTTTCCAGCCATGGTTCTCCTGAGGGAGAGGACTGAGAAAAGGCAGTGGAAATGGAGGAGAATTGGTGTGCAAGCTGTGTTCTGCACTCAAGCAATAATCAAAAGCTGTTCCCAGTTTTGCCTATCAGAGTCTGTTTAATAGCCCATRTAGCTCCTTGTATCTTTCTTCCAAAAATGGGGTGTAAAAGGAACCCCCCTATTCTTGCTGCAGGATTTGTACTGTTAAATGAAAATACTTTTTTTCTTTTTTTTCCCTGGAGATTGTAGTGAATCTATTGCTTTCCCGAGTGTTTTTTCCACCTAGAGCCATATTCTGTCCTTAGTTCTGATCTGGATCTCTCTTAGGCAGCCATTATCTTTCCYATTGAACTGAAAATTTCTTAGAGAGCAGCCAGGAAAGAATCCTCTCTGCCTCTTGGAGCACGCAGTGCTGGAGCTGCTACTGGAGCTTGTCATCCATTACAATTCTGTCAGCACTGGCTTTTTGCCCATCAAAGAGGTTTTKGGAGCCAGGCAAAAGCAGAGCTACTGAGCATTGTCACAAACTCCCAGCATCCCCATCCATGCTTGGCAAGAGGTTGCTCCACGAGAATGGAGCTTTGCTTCTGWGCTCCATCGAAGCAGCACCAGCCCGTGGCTCTGCTGTTGATATCAGATTGTTTAATACTGAAATCTTCCTTTTCTCTGCTACTTAGATCTACTGTTCAGTGGAGTTTTTCTGATTAACCAGGCTCTTGTTGCTGCCTTTCAGATTCACACGGAAGCCTTGTTCTGCCAACCAGGAGTCAGCACAGCTCTGGTTTGCTGTTGCTCCTGAGAGACAGCAGCAGATCTCCTTCTGCCTGCTGGGAGGAGAGCTGCTCAAAGACATCTCCTTCTTGGGGTCTTGCACAGAATGACCCCTCCTGGCATCCCAACCCTRCTCTAGCAAGGCAACAGTGAGGAAACTGAAGCCTCAAAACCTCACCAGGACAAGGAATGGGTTACTTTTGGAGAATGCTGGAGCTGACRTGGTGTTTCAGAGCCAGCCTCTATTCTTAGAAAAGTGGTGAAAGTCATGATTTAAAAATAAGATCAAGTGCAGTRCTAGCGAAGAGTCATATTCGTGGTATTCCTGTGAGTAAATCTCTCAACATGAATTGGCTTCACTTGAAGCTCAGAAGCACTCCACCAAAATAAGGCCCAGCTGTGAGGAGTCTGTAATACTGATCTGAATGGGAGTGAACACATGGCACTTGTCACCTCAGTTGTCCTCCTGACCCCTTCCCTTCCCCCCTAAACATTCCTGTAGTTTACTTTTTTATTGCAGGTCAAATGAGAACCTTGCAAAGGCTCTGGAGGAGTTAGTGCATGCAAGTGGGGAAATTTAATSTATATTCCTCCTTCTGAAAATTCCCCCAGGCACTTCTGTCGTCTTTTTCAACTTAGAAATGAAACTTGAGATTATTTTAGTATAGGAGGTAATATAAAAGTGGGTCTTTATCGGAGCAGCCATGGAAGAATGTCTGYAAAAGCTCACCCCCACAGGGGTGAATACAGTTTTTATAGATTTTAGGAAAATTAACATAATGGATAAAAAGCACTAATTAAGAGGACAAGTGGTAATGTAATTCTCCCCAGGTCAAGCCTCTTCTTTGGAGCCCTCGCTCCTTGGTACTAGCTGTACTKGTTTATGAAATTGTGTCTCCAAGACTTTGGTTCCCAGGAAGAACCAAGATAGGATAGGGGCCTTGTACCCCCCAGGACTCAGATCTCTGGAATGTGTTTGTTCTTTCTAGCTGGGGAAAAGGGTTGGGAAAAGTACTGGGAAGATTACAMATATATAAAAGAAAAAAGGCATAAATCATTCAGGCATCACTTTGGTAGGTGCTGTGGTTTTGCTGTTTGATTTTATATCATTCACAGCCATTTCTGGTTTGCATTGAGGTTACCAAATGCTGTGTGTTATCTTAGAATCTCCAGATGTCAACATATTCCTCCTTAGGGTTGTGTTTAATAAACAAAGGGCCAATCTCTGGCTGGCTTTGAKCAGGGATGGCCACAGATTAATACTYATGGCTTMCAGCTAGGRTGAACTTCCTGTGCAGCATCTGAATCAGTCATTTTATTGGGAGAAAGCACACAGAACTAGCGGAATTAAAATCMTGTTCATCTGCTGCTTTAGTGCTGTTTGAATTTTGAGGTTTCCCTCAGAAAACCTCCCTTGTGTTTTACAGCCACAACAGGATATAGGGTATAACCCTTTCCCACTTGTGTCACACAGAATTTTTCCAATAACTGAAAGAAGCTGAGACCCTGAAGTTTCCTCYTGCACTTAGTCAGGCCAATGTGAACTTCAGTTAAGGTGATGTCAACAAGTGAAATGCTGGATCTCAAAATAAGGTACCTCTGGAGCAGATCTGGTGGTTTTACTCCTCATGTAACACTCGTCTATGAATCCAGTCCCACCAGAGTGAGCTGACACACACGTGTGAGTGGCACTGCTGTCTTATTTTGAGCAGAAGTGTTCAATGACCTATGTTTCTTACCTAGCTCTGAGGTCTGAGCCGTGCCTGTTAACTCCTGAGGCTTAAACTGCCCAGTGATGTCAGCAGGAGTCCTGCAAGGGTCAGCAAGCTGTTCTTTCCTCTGATGAAGTTACCGAACTGTTCTGAATGGTGCATTTGAACTGCAAAGCAGTTTTACACAAGCTACTGCTAAAGCTGCACATCTCACTCTGAAGTATCACACTACAGTTTTATGAGTGAAAGAAAAAACAGTTGTTTTGTTTGAAAAAGAGTTAGGAGATTAAAAAGCCAGAAATYAAAGAAGTCAAGAGGGTATGCAATGAGCATAAATAGTTCAGATAAAAAGACAAACCAACCTAGTGAACATTTCCTGTTTTATTGTTATTAAAAGTTCATTATGAAATCAGCACAACACATAAAAATAGATCTGTGGTGAATGATACATATTACTGTTATTGCCCGGCCATTTCGTGCACACTCTCACTTTTTAAAATCAGAAGGTAATGAATACAAGACATTGCACCAGYGAACTGTGAAACCAGTGTTCTGCAGCAGAGAGAGGCTGTGCTTCCTGTTGACTCCATCCAATGTATAATGCAGTCAGAAATAGTCTTCTATTCACACTTAAAAATAAACGCAGTTTTAGAGTATGCCCCAGCTGAAAATAACTGGAGAGAAAGAGCTAGAAATAACTCTTTTCTTAGGGACCTTATTTCCATGAAAGTCAAAGGGATTTTTGACATGGATTTTAAAAGCAGAAGGACATAGTTATTTGTTGACAGACAGATGGAGAGGCCTAGCAACAGGAGCTAGGGAGGACCTGTGGCAGGGTAGGAGTTTATTATTTTGATCTTGCACATGCTGAATCTCCTTGTTGTAGTAATTGTCTGTGTTCATAACAGCCCTGATTGCTGGGAGGAGCTGGGAGGGTGTATCAAAGCCAGATAGGGCGTCTGCAGCTCATTTTTTTTTCTCCCCGTTTGGGTTGGCCTTGGTTCTAAGCCCGCACACCATTCATTGCAAAGTGACTTTCACCTGTGTGCTTTCTGATCCACATGAGRAAATCAGAACAATACCACAATTACAAAAACCCTCCACCAGTCAGTCACTTGCTGTTCCTAAGCTGCTGTAAGCTTTYCTTCCTAACTTCTGTGCTTATCACAGCAGGCATTTGGGGCTGCCCTCAGCCTCTGACTTTTGTTCCTTTCACTGTCATAACATCTCCAGGRGTGCTGGAAGGTTGCTAGCTGGCTCAGCAGAATTGTGGTTCTGCAGTTTTCTGCATGGAAATGTCTCTGTACCCAGCCTCAGTGCAGAAAACACTGATGGAGCTTTCTGTGGGGGAACACTTCTTGTGTATAGGAGGCAAAATGAGCCCCACATCAGATAATACTGCTTGAATGTGTGTGGGGAAAAAATACCTTAGTGGCATGGCTACTCCTATATTTTCCTGTTATTTATTTGAGAGCCTGTTTTACATCAGGCGAGTAGGAACACGAACCAATTCAGGCTATCCAAGCTTGCAAACAATGCTGGTTCATTGCCACAGGTCCTGGTGGGGGGTTGCAGAAGGTGGCAGCTAAAAATGTGGAAAAAGCCCATCTCTGGGAAGCCACCCTGCATTTCCACAGCCTGTGCTGTTGTCTGGCTCTGAAATACCCACAAATGCCTTCTGAACTCCTGCTCTGTTAGGACTACAACACATCATGTTCTTACTACCAAGGTGAAGAGTGATGTGTGGCTACTCTTGTGTCTGCTCTTGTTTCCTCCACAATRAATACCTTCAAATCTGAAGATAAAAATCTCAGTGTTGCTCCYTTGCATGAAAATCTCTTGGCTTCAGTCTCAGCCTCGCAGCAGGAGAGTGACAAGGGTGGAAAGCTGGCACAGCAGAACGGTGATTCAGGCTCTCCCTTTGGTTTTCAGGCTGTTTACTCAAAACAGCCCTTGAGAAAGATGCGAGGCCTCAAGCACACGTCACATTCAACCGGTTCAGCAATATTACACCTATTTCTGCTCAAACTAGCCAAGGAGGGGAGGGAGAACATAATATGTTAGTGCAAGTTCTCATGGACAACATATGAATATTTAGTACAAAATGTTCTTTCGAGGTGGGGCAAACATTTCTAATTGTGACACAAAAAGAAGGTATTTTGTAACAGTTTTAACAACTTGCCTGTGAAAAAGCGTTTGTGTGAAATATGTTTAGACAGACTACCTCACATGACACTGAAATATTTCAAGGCTCTTTCTGAGTAGGCAATAACCTAGTTTTGTTTTTTTAAAATCAAATCAGCTTTATCACAGCCAATCCCAAACATAACTAAATAATTTGGTCGTGATTTTTTTTTTTTTTTTTTTTTTTTTTCTTTTTTTTTTTTTTTTTTTTTTTTTTGGTTAGTTCCACTTTTTTGCTTTTTTCTCTTTGGAAAAATTAAAGCTATGCTAAATTGAGTGATTTCACTGCATATGGATTTTACCCATTCAAGACTTTTTTAATTGCAGAACTGACTTCCTCATTCAGAGGAAACCAYGGAAATATTCAGCTAATAAATTTTAGCATAAAGTTTCGAAAATTGGCTCATACTCTCCTGAAGTCCTGAAGAATTGCAGCTTCCAAGAAGTTCACAGACTACTTGTCCCTACTGAAAAACATTTTGTAAACCTGGCCCAATTTGAAGACAGTTTTTATTTCATGCCTATAAGGGCTAATATCCAAAACAAAAATCTGAATAACCCCTAAATTGTGCAGAGCAAAAAATTCAAGTATTAATTTTGCAGCATAGTCTCCCCTTTAAAACATTTGGATTGGGCCCAAGGTCCAACTGAGTAGAAACAATTAAGGCCTGTTTTCTCTGACTTGCACTGCACATGCAAGTGTTCTGCAGTTGCTTCATAACATGATCAGCCAGWGTAAGTCAAGCACGAGTGGAACAGCCCTTGGTTATAGACAAAAAAAGTCCATTTTTTTTTGCACCTGGTAGTGCCAAGAGCTAAAGAAAAATAAAAAAGCTTCCAATCAGGTGGCAAACAGACAGATGCGGGAGCCTTAACTGTGACTTTTTGCCCTTTCTTGCACTCTCAGCCAAGCCATAACTCATCAGAAGAGGGTTCACAGCCTTTCTTGCCTCAAAGCCTGGCTCAGAAACCACAACAGAGCTGGATCAGGTGGTGGGTGCCATGGTTGGTGGAGTTATGCAAAGGCAAAACCRGAATCAGGGTCAGAAGAGCATTTTCCCCAGACAGCAAACTCCTGGAGCAGGAACAAATGGGAGTGCCCAGAACTCCCTGTGGGTGGGAATAGGAGCAAGGCAGGATCACCAGGCCCTGGCTCTCACCAGAGATGCCCCTGGCACTGCACTGAGCTCACCTGAGCAWCCCCCATGTGGGGGCTGTGAAAATCCAAGGCAGCCAAAATGCTTTTTGTGGGATACAGTAAAGGCTTGAAGGGGGAATCTCTACTGCTGTCAGGGAGATTCCCTTTGGGTTTGTGCTACTATAGGGTCATGGTGCTACTTACACTTCCCCCAGAGCCCAGCAGGCTCTGGCCCTGCATCAGCAAACCCGGCTTTGGATGTCCAGCTGGAAAAAGCACTAGGCACAGAGGGTGCTAAATTTTTCTCCAAACACAATTCATCTTCTGCCTGCATCAGCTTTGGAACCACAGAGAACTTCCAAGCTGGAGAAAAATCCAAAATACCTCATGTAGAAGCACCTTTCCCTTGGATTTTTATTATCATAATTTTTAAGAATATATTCTGTACCGAAACACTGTCAGCATTCTTTATACAATGGAAAAATGACACAGTCATTATGTATCATGTAAAAGAGTAAAAACAGAGCAAGACAGGAACATTTCAATTCAATCTGGAGTACAAATAGAACCTGATGTACAGCTTAAAAGCCACACACCAGATAAAAAGATMATCTGGAAAACAACAGGTTCTCTTTTATTTTGGAAGTGGGAAGAAAAGTCAGGAACATCAGATGTTAAGGCTGAAAATTCAATTTTTAACTCGTATTTTATAGGTGGTAGTCTGATTCTTAATTCATCTGCAGCAGCAGCAACAACCCCCCTGCTTCACAAGGAGATTTGCACTTGCATGAAGTAAGAATCAGCCTTCTATGCTCAGAGGACTCTGATTGACCTCAACAGGCTTTGGACTAGAGCCACAGTTGGAATTTCAGCTTGCAGTCTAAGGCTTCTTAACTGCAGGCCAAATTAGCACAAAATGAGGCTTTGCATTGGCATTCTACCCTTAACTTTGGATATTCCAGTTCTGGTTGCTTTAAACCACACTTTTATTGCAGGTTTAACATAGGTCCGTTTGTGAGATTCTTCTCTTTTTTTTTCCTTCCTTAAATACTGTGCTACAAAGGAAGCTTTTATAGTTTGTTTTAGTTCCTATATTATGTGTTTTCAAAATTGCCTAAATGTATGTTTATATCATGATTATAACTACTCAGAAAGACCCACTAAAGTCCACTGTGAGCAGCCAAGGAAAAAAAGTGTATTTAGTCCTAAGGAAGTCAAGAAAAGTGGCTGTGTTCATTTATAGTGTAGCGCAATGACTGTGTTTATACAGCTATACCTACTATTTAAAAAGCTACTTGAAAAGTTATTATTCATGTGCAGTAGCTGATTTTCAAGCATTAATAACTTGGCTGTCTAGACAAGTTTTAATTGTCAYATCAAAGGCCAAATATGTTCTCAAACAATTATAAAGAATCTCCCATCTCCCTTGGAAAGAGGCTGGTTCTCCTTCTGAACTAAGAGATCACCAAATTTAACTTTTTCTCAGGTTATAAAAGCACAGTAAAACCCACAAATTTACTGTTTAAGTATTTAAAATGGATCAACTTCAACTCAAACCTATCCTGTGCAGCAAAGTTAGTAAGCCCTGAAAAACAGATTCTAGTGAATATGCAGAGTTMCCCCCACCAACTACCATGCCCACATTTTCCCAGGGCCTAGAGGGCACCATTAAAATGTAACTAAATGTGCGATAGGAAACATGGTTTTTCAAGAACGATATGTAAAGTTTACCCAAAGAACCTAAGACGTTTGTACATTCAGAATGTTTACACTTTGCTGTTCTTAACCGTCAGTAAGATTGTTCATTTTTTACTAATAATACATACAATGAGTATAAATAAATAAACTACAGATAAGTTTTAAAAATTGTATTAACAATACGTTGTGCAAAAACTCATAACGATCTACATTCTATGCAAATACCCTGACTAAAATACACAGGCTGTGTCCACACACCCTCAGTCAGTTTTTGCACAGTCCTTGGGCCAAACCAGCAGCTGAGGGCAATCAGCAAAATTCCATTACGAGCTGTGGAGGTAATGGTGATTTACACCAGCAGAAGGGCAGGCCCCAAAGGTGTGTGCAAAAATGCCATAGAAATCAGTGGGAATTGTGCTTGACTAAGGACTAGACAGTTTGATTGTACCCCATTAAAGTGAGTGGGAGCTTTGCCATTGATTTCCATGGAACCAGGCTCAGGCCCCAGGTAAGGACGTCAGCACATGGCCCTATGTTGTGCTACACTACTCCACTTCAGTGCAGAAACAATATTTGCAAAAGAAAACTTGGTTTTGTTGTCACTACTGTTCAGTAACCGGTTTTAGCGCTGCATTTCARAGATTGCCTTTCTGTGAGATTTGAAAGAAGACTGCGAGTCTTTCTGAATCCATTCCAATTTGATTATCCAGCACAGGTGGGCTATTTTGATCCAAGAAAAACGGCTCAAAGTCTATTAACCAACAGTGCTCTTCATTAGGATAAAAAACAGCCCGGTTCATCGGCACAGGAGTGAAGAACTGCATGCGGAAAAGGAACAGGGCAGCCTTCCTACCATAGCTGTGTCCAGAGCTGGCTGTCACTGCTCCCAACGGACGATGGCACCTGAGCTGGTTTGGAATCTGCAGTCCTAACAAGCTCAGCCAAGTTTTGTAAGCTGAAGATCTCCATTTATCTTTATTGTGTCAATTGCTGACAGTGTTTCAATACGGTGGTAAAAATCAAAGAGCTGATGTCCATCCACAAATATTCTAAAGCGGGGATGCTCGCAAAGTATCTCAACCTGTAAAAGATAAAACGTTGAAGCATATTGTTCACAGTGTAACTGGACAGTTTTTTTACAGCACATAAAGAGCACTTTATATAGTGTTGRTGCAGTTGCACATTGTGGTTCTTACAGGCCATGCAGGAGGCAAGGTTGATGCCAGTTTGCCTCTGTGACACCAGTTACACCGTGATGGATCTGCTCTTTCTKCAYAGGGACATTAATCCAATCTCACGTTGTTGCAGCAGTAAGCATGCTGGAACCCAGTCCAGCTACTGGGAGGTTTTGTGTCTTGGAATAATGCCAGAAACAGACTCAAACTGCTAATCACAGGAGGAGRAAATTTTATCTCCAACCCAAACCTTGCATTCCTTGCTACAAAGTTGTTGGTTTTGGTGTTTTTGTTTGGTTAATTTTTTGCTGCATAATGGGCAGTTCCCTCTGCAATGTTTTCCACACTACTTTTAATTTWCTGGAAGGGAGTGAACACAGCAGTRGGATATAGGTTTATCCTCCCCTCCYACACATAYAGAGCTGCTGCAGAACTAAAAACCCTTACTCCTGTGGCTGCAGACAGTCCCTGTCAGACTAGACTCCATCCTGGGGCTGCAGTGAAGGAAAAGCAGTGTAGGATTGCTAGAATTCAGCTWGACAGTTCAGAGGAGGCACAAACAGGATCAGGGAGGAACACAGCTCATCCCTCCTCCTGAGAGAGCTGCAGAAACACTCTGGAAAAGCAAGAAAGCCTAGAGCTCAACAAGCTTGGACACGCTGGGAGATTCCTGATGTTAGGGATGGCTTGAAAGGGTGCCCTGTTCAAGGTTTGCTGGAGCTGCCCCGGCCAGAAGCTGGGACATGAGAGCACAGGACGTGCACTTCTACAGGCCTTTGGAGACTTCCAGTTCTAGACAGATGAAGGAGAAAATCTTCAGCAAAGCCACATGTAAACCCTGGATCATTTCCAGAGGCTGGTAGTCTGGAGTGAAGTACCAGATACTTGACTCTKCTGCTATTAAAGTGTATAAAAATGGGAATGGGGCCCATGACAAAGTGACTGAGCCAAAACCCAATGGACTTAGAGCATGTCACACCAGGAGAAGTGGCAGTGGGCAGTCCAGGAGAGCTGGAACTCCTGGAGACCTGGTAGTGCGCCAGGTACCAGGGAAGCAGCCGTGCTGCCAYGGAGCTCCTGTGTCACTGCAGCAGTGCCTGCCTGAGGCCTTGTTATGTAAAAGATATGGTTAACACTGCTCACGGTCCGCTTTTCACATCACCCGCGGCCACGCCACACTGCTAATTGGACTGGATCACAAGTAATTGGCAAGAACACTAATAGTCTAATTTATTCGCTGAGAAGGAGACCATCAAAAGTATAAAGTCAATTGGGACCCTCAATTCCATTTGGGAAAAAAGGAGGAAAAAAAGGCAAAAGAACAACTCCCTTTCTACAGTCTCTCACGCTAAATATTGTGAGACTGCTGTCCTGTAACGTCAACAGTCATTAGTGGGACACGCACAAAACTCGCTCGGGGTAATTTGTCTGGCTCRTCTGAGGGCCCAGTCACCACCCAGTGCAGGAGGCAGTGGAACCCTCTCAGCTGGAGCAGGACCCAGTCTCCAAGCCTTTTCAAGTGCATTTCCCACACCACCAAAGGGTGTTGCCAGTTCTGATGGGAGGGTGAGTTTGTAGGAGCAAGTAGAGYGCAACCAATTTGCAGCAAAACCAGCCACAAACACCCTCTTAACAGCAAGCATCTGGGGAGATGGTGAGCTTTTGGGGTTGGGGGAGATTATCTTGGGGGCAAGAAGGATTAAGAGAGTTTGGCAGCTGGTCATAACACTGGCATTTAGCAGAGGGGCCAGTGAGGTTTTGTAAGAGGGACAGGGAGGAGGAGGGGTTTTCTGGGTCAGCTGCATGGAAAAGGCAGGCAGCCTTTTCTCCTCAGTGTAGTGGGAGAGAAGCAGTCCTCTGCAGCCGCATACTTTGTTAGTCCTGATTTGCAAAGACATCTTCACATAACCATAAACACTACAGATGGGAATCTGCTTCTAGGTCAACCCAGTCCATCCACAGCACCACAGCACTTCCATGTACACCATTTTCAGGTGACTAGAGATTTAAATTTGATGGAAGGTTTAATCCCAGGGTTCAGAAAAGAATACCACTATTGCTTAGCTGTTTAATCTCCTAACACGAAGACCTACGGTCAACCTTAACGTAACTTCCCCRGAGACAAAGGATGAACATGATCCTTATTAGCTGCACTAAATTGCAAACAGTACGCCCATTAAAAAACCCATCAAAATATACAGCAGTCCCACACAATATTAAMATTCTCCAGTAATAACTTGTAATGAACTAATAACATAGAGGTACTTCTTAATTTATGGTTATAAAACTAAGCTCAGGAAGTTGCGCTTCATCACACRGTATTACAGCCTCTGACTCGTCATRGTGCCCAGGTGAGGTGTTCATGGCCCCATCTGGACTGCCTGCAGCTGCACGTAGCAGTGGGATCTCCACGCAACTCGATGGATACAAACAAACCAGCAACTGRTGTCTCAAGCAGGGCAGTGTGGGCTACAGTGTGATTTCATGAAAGGCACGTCAGGTTCTGCTGCAACTCATATCAAATGGCACTTTATCAGACACGGTGTAAGCCACTGCCATCCTGGTACTCACCCTAAAAGGCTGGTCCGGTATAAATGGAAAGTAAGGAATAGATGACTGCTCTTCCCCCCATTCTCCGGCTACACAAGAGTTTCTGACAAACTGTCTCTCTGTAAACACAGCTTTCAGTTCTATGGCTACATCCGCAGGAGGATCTTCTGACTCCCCACAAGTCAGACTGATGCCAAAGCTGCAACACAAACAGAACAGCTCTCATTCAGCCAGAAAAAAAAAACAAGTAAGCCCCAAATGCTGCCAGCCTTATTTTTCAGCTTATTAAAGCCATATAGTGGCATCGGGTGGAAGACAGGTCAGCTCACTCAGAGAAAGCTCTGAAAGCTCACCAGGGACAAGAACATGGTTATGGCATATATAAGTGTGTGTGTGTGTGTGCATAACATTGTGCATATATGTGCATATACATGCTGAGATATATGTTTGATATGCTCCTTYACTCCCAAGTGAACACGGAATCCCTTGAAGAAATGCCCCCTCTATGGGTCAAAGGAGAAACCAGCATGCTATATTTAAGATGATAAAAATAATCCTTTCCAGAAAGGAGAGATCCGTGCGGATGTGTGTGTGTGTGTACGTGCGGGTGGCCGCCCGCCTTCGCCCCCTCCCCGGGCCCGGTGCCCCCGGCGCGGGCAGCCCTGCCCAGGTGTGTTACCTCTCGGGGTTGAGGTCCACTATGCCCATAACTAAGATCTTCTTTCCCGGCCTCATTCCTCCTTTGATGTGCCCACAGAAGGGGACGATCTGGAAAGGACAGGGGGAAGGTGGCGAGGGTCAGCTCGGCATCAGCAGCGGCTGCCCTTGTGCAGCCGCAGCTGAGCGAGGGCGGGGGAGAGTAAAGGGATTGACAAAATAAAATACACCCCCATCCCCACCCCAAAAAAAAAAATAAAATAAACAAAGGTGATTTACCAGGCGAGGGAAGTACACATCAGCTTGCACCGGAGAGCCCAGGGAGTTGTTTAAATGCCCGTCCTCTATTTTCTGCAGGTGAAAAGGAGAGCGCTGAGGCAGGGCCAGGCGGAGCCCCCCAGCCCGCCCCGCTCCGCAGGTGCCGTGCCCGGCCCCCGGTCCCCAGCCCCGTGCCGCTGCCCAAAGCCCGTGCCCGTCCCGGTGCCCAAAGCCGCACTCACCAGCGCGTCCCGCTCGGCCACGGTCCCCGCCATCTTGTGGAAGCGGCGGCGGCGGCGGCGCTGGGGACAGGGCGGAGGGCGGGGGAGAGGGAGGGAGGGATGGAGGGAGGGAGGGGGGTCTGTGGCAGCCTCGGCGGCGGAGGGGCAGCGGCGGAGCCCGAGTGGAGCCGGTGCAGAAGTAGGAAGGCGAGGAGGAGGAGGAGGAGGAGGAAGAGGAGGATGGGAGGTGGCCGGCTGGCACTGCCTCGCCCGGCGGGGAGCCCAGCCCTTGGCCCGAGGGGGAGCCGGGCTGGGCTGGGCAGGGCGGGGCGGGGGCTGCTGCCGCTTCCTCCGCTCCGCAGCCCCGCGGCGGGGCCGGCGCTCGGCGAGTGGGGAGCCCCCGGTTCCGCTGGGCTGGGGGGACAGCGGCAGGCCCGGGCTGGCGGGCCCGAGCCCCTCACCTGGCCCCTGCAGGTGATGGGTGCCTGGGCAGGGGCCACAGGAGCTCCGCGCCCCTCATGACAGAGACCACCTTTATGGCTGAGCTTCAACACCCCGGCCRAGAGCAGGTGCCGAGCCGGGCGTCCTGGGTGACTCCCGTTCTTCGGAGGTGGGCACACGGCTCGGCCCCTCCGAAAYGAACTTCCACCCCAGTCCGCTCCGTGCCCTGTTGCGGGGACCCTCAGGGAGCTGGGACCCCGCGCGGGGTCGGTGCAGAGCTCCCGCCCGAGGGTGAGGGGAGACTCCCGGCCGAGTGCGGCCGCAGCTCCCCGGGGCCCGSCGTGCCTGCAGCCTCCGGCGAGGCGCGGTAATTGCATAAGCCGGCCCATGCCGGTGAGCTGCCATTGACATGCAGTGGCCGTAGTTATGCAATGCGGCCGTGKCTGCGGGTGTCCCGCTCTGCCGGAGCACGGCGACCTCCGCCCGAGGCGACCGGCCCTGCTCGTGCCTCGCCCGTACCGCAGCACGAGTGACTCGTCACGCCAAACATGTCACGGTCCTGTCCATGACTTCGGCGTCTCGGGCGGSGGGGATTTGAGGAAGGCTTTCTTGTTGCTTCCTCACCGCTGAGATCTGGGGGCATGAGATCCCTTTAGAGCGGTGACACAGCAACTGGACCGGGCCTGTACTCTGCAGGACTTCACACGCGTCCCTTGGCTTTCTGTGCCTCTTGCCTGCACATTGGGCTGGGTTGGTGAATGCCCCTGTCCTTCCTCCTCTGAGGTGCTGTGAGGATTAATTACATTGAGTAAAGCAGGGTGGGAGAAGCAAAGTCACTGCAATATTTAGGGTTTCAGTATGACGGTGTCCATTGGGAAACACTTGCAATCTGTAGGTAATGCCATTTGAGAAATCAGGAGGTACTGAGGGTAAATACRGATTGTGCAAGTGTTTAGACGCTTGGCTACTTTTTCAGTAGTGCCCACTAATTTGGGGATGTTTTAATCTCTGGATGCCCAGCTGGAGATGGCTCATAGAGGCTCGTATTTAGAAGCCATGTCGTGAAGTCATGGCTTCTTCAGGTGTACTGACACAGCCACATCCCTGTGGCTCATGTCWTGGCATGGGAAAACCGCTGGACTGTTTTCTTCTTGCCAAAACCTTGTATGTCTGTCATCACCACATGGAAAAACATCTTCCTGGAGACTGAATTTGTAAATAGTGCAGTAACGTGAACCCATCACACGTGAGAAACAGCTGACTTTGCAGTGGTCAGGTAAGTCCGTTCACAAGTTCACCACAAAGTGGAACTGGAATTAGCTTGATGGATTTCAGCTCCTGTGTGCTGCTCACCTCACCACAATGCTGATGCCAACTGCATTGTTTTCTTTTTCTGTTGGCCTAAGAGAGAACAGAAATTGTCCTAAGCTTTTTGATTTTTTTTTTTTAATTTGGTTGTATGGTATTACGCATTGTCTAAAGAGCTTTTTTTCAGAACCCTTTGTCTTCTCTTCTGTACAGAGAGCCACTTTGTTGGATAAGATTAAATTCATTGGACATAAAATCAGGCCAGCCAGTTGTTTGTGCCAAAGCATGATGTTTTATGAAGGGAGAGGTCATCATTATGTGTTTGTTTTGTAGCTGGTTTTAAATGAACTGTTTCATTTCAAAATAATTAAATGACAAGACTYGTCCATTTGGCTAGCTGCTTTGCCTTGTGCTCGTCTTTTTGGCGTGTTTTCCCAAAACTAGCACAAATGCAGTGTTTGTTTCGTTGGCCGTGGATTGACTGGAACAACCTGCACTAGGAAATTGTGATGGAAAAGGACATTCATGAGTTTTTACAGCTCTGTGCCTTTCTGTTTCTGTGCCATGTTATCCTCTTRCCCTATAACAGTCCAGGAGGACACTGAAAATCCTGTGTATACCGCAAACAAGGTGAGGCAGCCAGAGAAGAGCTCTGCTCTGTGTGCTGCTCTCCTGCCTGTGTGATGGTCACTCCTGTAGTTTTTCAGAGGGAGGTGTTCTCCAGCAGAAGGTCACCTGCATTGCCAGGCAGTCTGTGAAGCACAGTTCAATTTCTGAGCAGAACCATGCCTCTCATCCATGGAGGGGCTTTCTTGAGACCCAGCTTCCCAGGAGGTTCCCCTCTGCAAAGTGCTGCAGGGTGAGTGCTGCACCTAAGCTGCTGTGCTTGTTCTTCTGAAAAAGGAGGGGTCTGAGCCMAATATGTTCCCTCGCCCATGTAGTCCTTGTTAAATCATCTGCACAAAATAGCTCCTGTTCAGTATTTTTAACAGCTTTCTTGGCAGAGGAGCTCTTGAGTTATCATCATGCTTGAGGGCCTGAGCTTGCAGACCTTGTGGTAGTGGCTGGATCAATATGATAAATRTTTGTGCATCACTGAAACCATGCTGAGGTGCAAGTTACTGTACTTGTCTGGTTGACCAAATGCAAAAAGYTCTGTGGATAGGTATTGCCTTCCATTTCTGGGTTTGTACAGCTTTTTGCTCAGTGGGAGGCTGGGACTCTTGAAATGCATAGAATCACACAAAGATTAAAAAGATGTGGCATGGCGTGAACACTATTTGGGAACAGTTAATGACATGCCCAGCCCAGCCACCAAAGCCATTGCTGAGAACTGGCAAACCCAGAACTTCATCTTAATCCCAGCACCTTGTATCTTGCAGCCACTCCCTTTGATGATTTAAAAAGGTGTATCTAATTCTTAGCTGGCCTTCACCRGCAAGGAATGCAGCAAGATTGCAAATTTGGTGTGGTATAATTACCCTGCCTTTCTTGCCCCATTACCACTGACATTACTCTCTTCATGCCTSGGTTTATAGGCTGACTTGTAGAACCTCTCTGGTTTGTTTTGCTTTTTTAATGACAATGTTGAGAGGATGGGAGTTGTTTGCTGGTTTCGTGGAAGCTTCCTTTGGTTTCTGGGTGGCAAGGCACCCAAGTCCTGTTTTTTGTAAGACTCGGAAAAAGCTGAGTAATACAATAAAGGAGAACGTCTGGGAATAAGTTTGATTTAGTGGTTGTAGCCAAGTGTTTAATAGTCAGAGGAATTGCTCCTTTTCAGAATTACACCTGAATGGCAGTGCTGATAAACAATTATCTGGGTGGTGTGGCAGGGTTTTTTACCTTTATAGCTTTGTCACTGCACCGAGGCTGAACCATAGGGTGCTGTGTGCTGGTGGAGATGTTCCTGAGCCTTCCCTCCCACACTCACCCGTGGGAAAGACAAGTGACACTTATTGGTAGGGACAGCGTGGAGAGAGTGTTTATCAGCCTGTGTGCTTTCACAGGCTTGTGCTGTCACATCCTCATGGATGGAGGAGGGCACCCAGGGCCAAGAGCAGCACCCCTCTCTTGACATTTATTTCATGTGGCTTCAGTGCTTCACTGCTTCTTGTTGCCCCCTTGATTATTATGGTCAAGGGTTTTGCCCTTAAGGGTTCAAGCTCTGGCTGTGAGAGAACCCAGTGCAGGAGTTGGTTTTCTGGGGCTCCCAGTAACAGATTGTGTAAATTGGTGTTTAAGGGGAWGGYCCTGGTGGGYGAGTYGCTTGGTKGCMCAYRGAACTGCTGCACATCTGGTGCAGARCATGTGTGTATCAGAAATATCTGTCCTGAAGATTGTTTACTGAGGTTTGTCACAGGATCCAAGGGCATGTACATAAATGTGTGTCAGATACAGTGGAAGCCACGTTCAGCTCACTGCTTGCCTCTCCTCTCAGCAGACAAGGCACCAACCTGCGCCCACAGCTCCATCTGGCCCTGGACCAATGGGTGCTGGGTGGGAGGAAGGAGCTGCCTGGGGAGAAGAAGCGTAGGAAGGTCACCATGAGGACATGACATCCCTCATCTGTCTCTGGCCCACTGGCTGCTGCAGTGCCCATTTCAGGTGAGTCATGGTTCCTCCATCCAAGAGGCAGGCAGGAGAGGTTCCCAACTGTGCCCACACCACACAGAGGGCAGAGGGAGCCAGAGCTTGGGCAGSTCCTCTCTCCTGCCYCTGTGAGAGCAAAGACCAATCCCTGCTCTCCTGGAGTGCAGGAGGGCCTGAGGCTGTTTCTGCTCTCTTTCTGCAGCTCCCAGGTGCTGAAGGAGCTGTGGATGAACAYGCTGCTKKGGTAAGCTGGGGGATGCTCCAGGMACAGCTGGGTAGGGGAACACAGYTCCTCAGCTGGGGAGAGGGGTCCCTGTGGCTGTGGGCAGCTCTTGGGCAGAGCTGCCTGACAAGAGAGAAGAGGTGGCTTGGAGCTCAGCTCACTCACTGTCCATTCCTGCTGCACAGGACACCAAAAGGAGTCAAGAGAGCCCGGGTGACCCACCTGGAGTTGAGCTGTCTCCTTGTCATTGAGTGCCYCTCTGCTCTGGGCTCAGTCCTGAGTGCTGGAGCACCAGTTGAGCAGTAGAGGCATCACTGCTTCTCTTCTCCTACTCCTGTATTTCCCAGTGGAATCCATTCAGTGCTGGGAGCCTGGAGAGGCTGRTGGAGGCCAGCAGAGATGACACTGGAACCCTTGAGCTGCCTCTGGCTGTGCTGTGGTGCAGGGATGTGCAGCCAGTGGAGTGAGCCTGTGTAGGAGGGAGGGAAGGGAAGTCCCACAGTGCCAGTCAGGGAGATGGAGAGGGTTGGGGAGTCACCAGGAGCACTGGTATGTCCTTGCTGGCAGTACCGGGAGAAAACCTGTTCTGCAGGACAGAAGGGACAGAGATTTCTGGCTCTGCCATGCTCAAGCTGCTGGTGCCAGGTGACAGCTCACCAGTGGCCCTTTCTGCTGAGGGTCTGCTCTCCCAAAGGGATCAAAATCCTGCTKTCTGCCTTTC